CGGACGTCCGACTCCTCAGGGGCCGCCTGCTTGGGGCACCTGAGCCCGCCGGCCGCCCCCGTCCCCCGGAGGCCGGGCTCGGGCTCTGGGAAGCCCCGGCTGGGGCCTGGAGGCGCGGCGCAGAGGGGCCGCTGGGTTAACCACGGGTCCAAGCATGCCTGAAACTGCAGGCAGAGATTTAAGTACATAGGAGAGAGGCGGTTTTCTTGGGAAAGAGCCCATGAATAAAAAGGTTACTTAACCCACGGACCTAAAGGGCTCCCCCGTTGCCGTCGAGTCGGTTCCGACTCATAGCGACCGTATAGGACAGAGTAGAACTCCCCCATAGGGTTTGCAAGGAGCAGCTAGTGCATTCGAACTGCTGACCTTTTGGTTAGCAGCCAAGCTCTTAACCACTGCGCCACCAGGGCGTAAGAGCCGGTGGTTGGACATTGGGAAGTGAAAGTTTGTCGAAGATGGTTATTTATCGTTCCCAACTCTGCTGTAGGTCTGGGGAGTTCAGAACCAGTCCGTGCCTTCAAGGAACTTGCGTTCCCGCCAGGGAGACCGATGGTTAATATGCACGCACAAATCACTGCCTCATTGGATGCTCACAGCTGCTTCATGTTACTAATATCTTACGGGAGAAAAGCGAAGCTCACAACTAAGACTTGGCATGGATGTTGGGTCTGGTAACTCCACTTCTAGCAGCTCATTCTTCGGAAATGATTCCTCAGGACCAAGATTTATTCAAGAGGATCCTCAGTGCAGAGATAACTATGGTGCATTCACAGTGTGGCCTGTTCTTTACCCGTTATAAATGGTCTTTATGCGATTGGAAGGAAATAGAACTGCCAACAAGGTTTCTCTCCAGGTGCCCAGAATAAGGGACTTTTGTATTTTTCTTGACACTTATGTATTTTCATGTTTCCTAATGTAAGTAGACTTTGAGAAGACTAGATACATGTTATTTAAAATGATTTTTATAAGGATTCTGTAGAAACACATTTGCAGTATCATGAAAATAACAATATTTAAAAAGCATCATGGCCATAATTCTGTAAAAGGTGTTTTTGTAGAAGGTAATGTGCCAAAAACAAAAGGAGTCCCTGGGTGGCACAAACGGTTAAGTGCTCAACTACTAGCCAAAGACTGAAGAAGAGTTGACACCTTTGAATTGTGGTGTTGGCGAAGAACATTGAATATACCATGGACTTCCAGAAGAACAAACAAATCTTTCTTGGAAGAAGTACAGCCAGAATGCTCCTTAGAAGCAAGGATGGCGAGACTACGTCTCACATACGTTGGACATTATCAGGAGGGATCAGTCCCTGGAGAAGGACATCATGCTTGGTAGGGGGTCAGCAAAAGATATGAAGACCCTCAACGAGACGGATTGACACAGTGGCTGCAACAATGGGCTCAAGCATAACAAGAGTCATGAGGATGGCACAGGACTGGACGATTTTGTTCTGTTGTACACAGGGTCACTATGAGTCGAAACCCACTTGATAGCACCTAACAATGACAACTAGCCAAAAGGGTGGTTCGAACCCACCCAGAGGTGCCTTGGAAGACAGGCCTGGCGATCTGCTTCTGAAAGGTCACAGCCTTGAAAACTCTGTGGAGCAGTTCTGCTCTGCACACATGGAGTCACCATGAGTGAGAATCAACTCCACGGCAACCAACAACAATGTGCAAAAAAAGTAAACCCGGGGTGTAATTCTGAATGACCGCAGGAAAAAAGTATTTGGTGAAAAACTTTTTAAAAGATGGTATTAGTGTCTCTTCTACATGGTAAGCTCCGAGCCAGGACTCGGCAACTGCATCTCCACGTTCTTCAGGTTTTCTCATCCAGACAGCGATACGCCCTGTTGAGCCGTTTGCCTCACTCGTGCGTATGACAGGATGAGCTGCTGCCGGCAGAAGCAATAATGACACCACTGACACTTCCCACTGCATTGTCATGCTTCCTCTTCTGAGGAAAAAAAAAACTGAATCCATTATCATGGATTCAACCCCTTCCGTTCACACTTTGCAATCTTCAAGTCAAGATAAAATGCCGACACTGAAGTGGACCCTGAAATGAGTCACATGACTGAAAAGTCATCAACGAGGAAGGAACAGTTCTAGAGGGTAGATGGAGGCAACTCCCCCGGGATTTGGAGACAGGGCTCTGGCCTTTGACAAGTTACTCTTTCCTTGGCCTCAGGCTCCCTTGAAAAACAACCTGTTAACTAATATTTTGGGAAGCCTTTGAGTGGAAGAACCATTGGATCAAACTTGGAAAACACAGGTCACTTACACTGTGACTACCCAAAGACAGAGAATCCAGTAGAGCGCAAACACCGCTGTTGCCGGGGGGATTTTGTTTCTCATGGAGGCCTCAGTGCTTCATGAGCTCTGTGCCAGTCCTTGCCCCATCCCTGGTTAGTCATAGCATCCATGGAGACGTTTGCCACTTGACTTCCAGTGCCCTTATTGGCCCTTCCTGGGCCATTTTCCTTACCAGTCATTTGGATCAGGACATTTCTGTTTTACCTAAATATTTACTCTTGAGTTTTAAACCCATAGCTATTGTGTGTGACGTCACTGGCTAACTCTTGCTTCTCTCTCGTCTTAGCTCAGATCCACTTCCTTTAGATGATCTTCCTTCATCTTGACTAGGTTGTCTCAGAGTTATGGGAGCTATGTACTCCCCCCATCCCCAGCATCCAGTATGTACCTTACTTTAAGACCTATTTATTCTTTCATTCATTCCTGAGTGCACTGTCTCAGGAACCATTCTAAAGGTGGGACTATAAAGTCCCTGCCCTCGTGGAACTCAGAGTCTAAAAAATACACAAATCTGTATTTGATGCCTAGTGATAAGCGCTATGGAGAAAAACAAGGCAAGCTACGGAGACAGAGGCGGAGGGTTGGAGTGATGCTGTGTTAGGGCAGGGTAATCAGGGAAGCCCTCTACGAGGAGGTGACATCTGAACAGAGGCTTAAGTGAAGCAGGGGGATGAGCCTCGCAAAGGCCTGGGGGAAATGTACCAGGTGGAAGAAACAGCAGGTTGAAGGGCCCTTGTGCAACCATCTTCCTCACTGTGGTCAATTCAGTGAGGAGCTGGTGGCACTCGGTATGCAGCAGGGGTTTAAGCATGCATGGAACTGTGGAAAAAACTCAAAACCAAATCCATTGCTGTTGAGTCGATTCCAACTCATAGCGGCCCTACAGGACAGAGTAGAACTGCTCCATAGGGTTTCCAAGGAGCAGCTGGTGGATTCAAACTACCGACCTTTTGATTAGCTGCAGAGCTCTTAACCACTGTGCCACCAGGGCTTCAGATTGTATATACACACAGACACACAGACACACACACACGTTTTTTATTTATAAATACTACCACATGAAAATTTTTGAGAAAGAAGCATTCATAATCCTCTTGCATTCATCTCATCCTATCTTTGCAAAATCCTATATTCTACCCAGAAAGAAAGCTAGAAGGCTCTGGTGGACAGACACCTGACCCCCGTCCCTGAAGGCCCCAAGAGCCAGGGCAGTTTCAGCACTGACTTACAGAGAAGCTCAAGGTGGACCCAGTGGCTGTCAGAGACTCCTTAGGGTTTTGTCCAACCTCTATTTCACAAGAACACACGATTCAGCAGAATGAGTTTGACCCTACCCTGAGAACCTTGTCATGAGGGCAGACCATTTAGGCTTGATGGATCTTCCACTTAAATTCAGCCAACATTTGGCCCAGTAATGGACGTATGCAATAGAGAGCTGCTCAAAAAGTCAACTATGATCTTCACGTTACACCACAGAAATCAGGTCAGTTTTGAAATGATCATATTTATATATATATCCATGTATATATACACATGCATGCGAAAGCTGGACAATGAATAAGGAAGACAAAAGAATGGATGCCTTTGAATTATGGTGTTGGTGGAGAATATTGACTATACCATGGACTGCCAGAAGAACAAACAAATCTGTCTTAGAAGAAGTACAGCCAGAATGCTCCTTGGAAGCCAAGATGGTGAGACTTCATCTCATGTACTTTGGACATGTTACCAGGAGGGACCAGTCCCTGGAGAAGGATGTCATGCTTGGTAAAGTAAAGTAGAGGGTCAGTGAAAGACAGGAAGACCATCAACAAGATGGATTGACAGTGGCGGCAACAATGGGCTCAAACATAGCAACAACTGGGAGGATGGTGCGGGACCAGGCAGTGTTTCGTTCTGTTGTACACAGGGCTGGGAGTCAGAACCCACTCGACGGCGCCTAACACCACCACATATATGTCAGTACGCGTGCATGTGTGTATATATGCATTTGCGTGTATACATGCACACATGTATATATACACACGTGTATAATGCATGTGCGTGTATATATGCATGTGTGTATATGCGTGCGTGTGTATATATATACGCATGTATGTGTGTGTGTATGCATGTCCATGTTGTTTGCTCAGTAGCACTATAGGGACTTCTAGGATGGTTTCATAGTGTAGAACCCAAGCCCTGCCGAGCTGGGGACAACCTGAGCGATGAAGCGTGTCTCACAGTGAAAGCAACTGGAGTGCATACAGGTGCTGGGGTGAAGTGGCAGCGTGGACAAGGAACAAACGAACCCTTCAGGTTAAGTAGCAGAGGGGGAAGACCTCGTTCTTTGGATTACACCTGTTTTTAAGTTCTATTTCTGCTTGCACACATTTCACTGCTAAATGGTCCCAGGATACTTGTTCCCCCCGACCACAGCCACTTCCGTCTCTATTACAGACACTGAACGTCGACAGACCTGTCACAGGCGAACTGTAGACTCACCAAGATTTATACAGATTTCATTTTTTATTACTAATCAAAAATAAATTCCATATATTGTTTAGCAAATATTATCATTGTTGTGACAAAAGACACAAGACTCAACAACAAAACTCCCCGAGAGTCAAACTCATAACAATGCCAAAAAAAAAAAATCACAAAAATATACAAATTAAAATCTTACACAAAATAAATATGCATTATTTGCTACGGCGGCTGTGTCCTGCCTACCCATGTGGATGCCATTTGCAAAGGTCCCCCTTCCATGGGAAGACATGTAGGGGCGGGCCAGTCCCAGGGTACGGCTCAGCCCACGAAGCGAAGGCTGGACGCAGGAAGTGAAACATTGCACTGGGAGAAGGATGTCATCAGACCAGTAATGTGTGGAAATCGCCATGAGCCCCTGCAGGGAGTGATTGTAAATGGGAAGGGGGGGGATGAGGGGCTGCTGTTGGTAGCCACCGTGTGTGCGAAGAGGTAGCTGTGGAAGTGCGTGTACCTGCTCCTTTGATTTCACACACACCTAGTTCAGCCCATGCATTTGCTCACCTGCGCTGAGCGCACCCAGGAACGCGGCTCTGCACGCTCCCACCTGGCCTCAGAAAGCAAGCTGCTCCTGTACAATCTGTGGGTTTTCCCAGCTGGAACAAAGGCCTGGTGTCTTTCCCTTATGGCCGCAAACTCATGAGTCTCAGTACCTTCTCTCCAGGCTTTTAAGGGTAAATTCGGCCACGGGAGGCCCTCTAACCGGCCAGGGGCAGGTATACTTGGTGCAAGATACTTCCTGGTCCCCAGAGTCAGGATTCCCTAGGCACCTAGACAGCACAGCACTTGGGGTGACAGGACCCCCTGGTTGAGAAGTGAATAAATAATGCTCAGGCAGAAGGTCTGCAGTCTCCCTCACCTGGATCTTGGGTGGCGGTTCCTGTTCCACCCAACAAAGGGCCACCACAGACCCTGGTCCCACAGCATCCCTACCATGGGAGGCCTGGAGCTCTGCCGCAGGGCCTGACTCACCCCCAGGAAGAAGGCACTGGGGAATAATTTGAGGGGTGCAGAGCTCTCGGGGTACAGTACCAGTAGCTTCAGCAAAGGCCAGGGTGGCCTCTCACACCAGGGCGACACAGACATGGGGAACACAGCGCTGCCAGCTGTGTGCCTTTCAGGCAGAAGCCGCCTTTCCTGGGGTTCCGCAGGCGTGTGAACAAGGCCAGGGAAGCCTTGGCCACCGAGTAAAGGGCATGAAGAACTGCTTATGCCAGTTTTCAGCAGGTCCTCTTGTCCCCAGACCTTAGCAGGGGCTGGGGTTTGGGGATCAGGAATTTTGGAAAGAAGGGCTTCATGGATCAGCGAAGGAGCCCCGACTTTCCTTTCGGGGTCGGAAGGAGGGGGTGGGATTCATCACTAATAATGCAGGTGCCCGTGACCAGGCTCACTCCTGGAACCATGAGGAGTGACACAGACGAGTCACCGTGAACGCAGACACTCTCCCACTGAGGGAAAGCCTTTGGTAAAAGTGACGGCAGGTCCTGAAGAGCAGGGTAAGCCATCTGAAAGGTCTGAGGCGATGCCTAACACTTTTGCTCAGCCCCGTCAAGAGGGGAGAGCCGTCCAAAGGGACAGACGCATGGCAAACCAGCGTGGGCAGACTCACCCGGGGAACCATCCACCGAGGGCTGGATCCAGTGACTGGCAGGAGCAGACGGGCCCCGCCCTGAGGCTGGGATTATCACGTCCCTGATCAGTTACCCAGAATCCCCTGACCCCAGCCACGTCACTCGGGCCTCAGTGCACTGGCCCAGGTATTTGTTCTCAGTGTGACTTGGTTCTTCACTTCTGGGAAGAAGAGTCCTCCCCTCCCAAGAGACATCCCTCCTCCGGCAGACCTCTGGGATCCCATCTTCGGGGCAGAAAGGCGGGCTTCCTGAGTCAGGCAAACCAAAGGTCAAACCAAAGGTCGTGGCAGAGAGCGGATTATGGCTATTCTTCCTGTGGCGAGAAACCCCCCTTGTTAAAGTTTGTGAAAAAAATCTCTTTTTTTCTTAAGAAAGTTCCTTAACCCTGTCTCCCTTCCCCATTCCCTTCCCAAAATGATATTTAAAGAGAGGAGCAGTGAGCCTTGTTTAGAAATTCTCTCAGTAAAAACAGCCTTTGCTCACGGGAGCTGGCCCACCGCCCCAGCCATTCCAGGGCTGGGCAGCCTCTACCTCAGAGCTGCTCGGGGTCCCTGTCAGAGGACCAAATCGGCATGGGCTGGGGGCCATCTGGACGCTCGGACAGCCATCCGCTCCCCCGTTCTGGCCTCCTAAGCTCCCTGTCTTCATGTGGGCCCACTGGGGAGGCCCCCGCAGGGCTGGCGGGGGGCCCCGGGCCCTCCTGTCAGATGGCACTCTCGTGGGAGGTTCTGTGCAGCGAGGAGTTACGTTCGTTGAGGAGAGTTGTGGTCTCGTCCACTACAGGCAGCTCAGACTTCTCGGAGAAGTTCTCTGAGTAGGTGGCACACCCGTCCATGGGAAACTGAGGGCAGTTCTCCATGCGTGAGGCCAGAAGCCCGTTCTGGTACTGTTGCCGGGTGATCTGCATGAAGAAAGGAAGAGGTTCACGGAGAGCAGGGGCTGGGAGGCGGCAGAACCTCATCAGACCTGGTGAGGTGGGGCCAGTACTGTGGCTGGAAGCCAAGAACGTAGCAGCACGACCAAGTGAAGCCTCAGAGACCCTTAGGAAGAGTCAGGGCAAGACTAACGAGGAAACACATCTTGGGTCTGGGCCCCTGTGCTGGGTTTGGTGGATGGAAGAAGTTGCTGGTTCCCGAAGCAGAGTGATCTAGATGCTCGGGAGGAGGAAGGCAGTGCTGCCTGGGCAGAGTGGTGCATGGGGTGCGCTCACCTTAATGTACTGGAGGTCCATGAGTGCTCGGACACTGAAGTCAGAGATGTACTGGGCCAGGATGGAGCTGCCGAACTGGACGCTGCTGCCGGCTATGGGAGAGGAGCTCGTGACATCTGTGCGGTCCGGGTAACTGAGGGAGGCCGAGCGGCTGAGGGGATAGGACGGGGAGCGGTCTGTGGGGAAAGCAGAGGACGTCAGGTCAGGAGCCACCCAGGTGCTCGCTCACGGCCTCTTGTTGACCTCGTCCCACCCCACTGGGACAGGAAGTAACTCTTAACAGCAAACAGAAGCACATGGAAGATGTAACTGCAGAAGGTCTAAACTTGTCAAAGCAAATGAGTTAGTTTGTTTGGAGGAAGTGTCATGCAACAAGTATTAAAATGCCCACCACAACAACGGCAAACGCGAACAAAAATCAAAGACACAGAAAGTTTAGGGCTACAAAACCCCTCATTTCCCAACAATGACTCAGTCAAAGGCAACACAGTGATTCACCCTAGTGTTACAGACGAGCCGTTATCCTTGTCTCACTAACAGCTTATGACATAAACCACATACATGTATTATATTAACAGCAGGAACACACAGTTAGTACTCCCTCGTCCCGCACACACACGTACACCCTCACACATGGCACCCTGTCACATCTTACGATGCTTTTTTTTTTTAAGAATTCTCTTTACTTTTTTTTTAATTATACTTTAGATGAAGGTTTACAGAGCAGACTAGTTTCTCATTAAACAATGAATACACATATTGTTTTGTGACTGGTTGCCAACCCCACGCACGACACATCAACACTCTCCCCTTCTCGACCTTGGGTTCCCCATTACCAGCTTTCCTGCTCCCTCCTGCCTTCTCGTCTTTGCCCCTGGGCTGGTGTGCCCCTTTAGTCTCGTTTTGTTTTATGGGCCTGTCTGATCTTTGGCTGAAGGGTGAACCTCAGAGTGACATCAGTACTGAGCTCTAAGGGTGTCCAGGGGCCTAACTCTCAGGGTTTCTCCAATCTGTCAGACCAGTAAGTCTGGTCTTTCTTTCTTAAAATGCTCTGAAAGGGTCAAAAGTGTGCTCTGCACATGGCCTGCTCTGTGTGAAACACATTCCTATCCTACACCCGTGTCCGCTGAGCCCTGTCGGCCTGGCAGAGAGGGTGGCGCCTGGCGCCCCAGCTTCCTACTGCCTGCCTCCACGGGCTCTCCTGAGACAAAGCGCCAGACAATGGCGGTGTACGCCTCTTCCCGCCACTAGAGGGAGCACAGGCCTCCAGATGGTTCCAAGCTGGAAAGGGCAGTAACCAGTCCATCTCAAGTAAGGACGGAACTGCCTGTTATTTTGAAAAAGGAACTGTGCGCAGTACTGCACACCACTTGCTCTTATTTCTGTGAACACTTAAGAAGCAGTGAAATGCACAAAGAAGTGAAATACGAAGGCATGCTGGCTCGTAAACAAACAAGAAGTAGACGCCGACTTGCTCGTTAGTTGACTACCAGCTAGCGAGTCTAATGAACAGCCCAGCAAAAGCAGCAAACGAATTGAAATCCAGGCGACTGAGTGGCCAGGGCAGTGACAGTGAACTGAGGAAGACTCCTGTCTCTGAGCTTCAGTGAAGCCTGGGTTTTCATTCAGAAACCCACGGAAACTGTCCGCAATAGTCTATGGGCAGAGAACAACCACCAGAGGATCACTCATCCTGACTTCTGAAGACCTCTGGTTAAGCTTTAGGAAAAAACAGGGACACTAGGGGTATTAGTCAATATTTCATACTGATTATTTAGAAGATGAAATGCTTTTAGTACATGCCTATTAACACCCCAGAAACAGAAAATGAATTTAACACCAACACAAATCAGTGATGTGACCTATCAAAAATAGGGATCCTAGAAAGAAATAGAACAAAATATTAAGTGTCTGTTTCTGAGTAATTGAAATTATGGCGCTTTCAAAATTTCTTAATATTTTTTCCTAGTTCCCAAATTTCTAAATAAGCCTATCTTACTTTTATGATTCAACCAAAACAGTAAATGTAAAAAAAAAGGGGGGGTTTTGACCCAGTAATTCCATTTCTGAAAGAATAATCTAAAGACATAATCTGGAACACAGAAAAGGTTTTTGCATAAAGAGGTTTACAGCCCATGTGAGTTACAGTAGTAGAAAGAAACAGAGAGCCCCATGAATGGCCATAAGGGCAAGAACGGATAAACCAGGGCAGGTGTGCTGGTGGAACACCGTGTCCCCCAAACAGGACGTTCGTGGAAAAGCATCTCTGCTTCCACCTTAGGTAACAGCATCAGGATCCAACCGCCCTGCAGACACGCCTGACACAAGAACACCTGCAGGAAGGGAGGGGAGGAAGACGAAGCTGACACTGGGCGGCTCGAAAGGGCGACAGAAAGACCGCTCCTAGTCACCTCTGTACCCTTCTTTGGTTGCTGTTGTTCTTATAAAAAACTAGGGGTCAAAACAGAAAAGTCTGCTCTGGTACAGTTAAGAAGGAAGCAACTCCAGCTGTATGAATTTAAAAGGGGCCCTGATGAAGCAACAGGTAAGCACTTGGCTGCTAACAGAGAGCAGAGAGGTCGGCGGTTCAAATCCACCGTTGGCTCCACGGGAGAAAAGACCTGGTGATCTGCTCCCATAAAGATTACAGCCTGGGAAACCCTAAGAGGCAGTTCTACTCAGTCACATGGGGTCGCTCTGAGTCGGAATCAACTCAAGGGCAATAGGAACAGGTATGAATACAAGATGACCGAGGAATTTGGCCTCTTCCTAAATACTTTCTGAATGGAATGTCACACTTTGTTACAGAGAAAATACAGAAATAATAATCGAGCCCCAACTCAATTATTATAAATCTAATTATATAATTACTATAAAATGCTCCAACGAAGCATTTTACATAAATCCTCACTCCTCACAACAGCTCTCTGAGGTGGGAACACGTACTGCTCCCACCTCACTTATGAGGTAACCAAGTCTGAGAGGGGAAGTTAATGTCCCAGCATTGTTGAGCTAGCAGATGGGGAGATGGGGTGCAGATGGGGCAGGCTGACTCTGGCTGCTGTGCTGACGCCTCCCCGGGCAGACACACGTAACAGAAGGGAAAGCAAAGCCTGTGAAGATTCTGGGCGGACAGTTTTCAGAGGAAGCCGATGCTGTGCAATCCCGCTGAGGGTGGTGACTGGCCATGACTGGGAGGGTGCTGGCCAGCTGTGCCCTGTTTCCTGCATCAGGAGGAGGGCGGCAGGCTGGCAAGTGGCTCAGAAACCTGCTCCACACCCTCTAGGATGCACACCTGGCCTGGCCAGAGGGGGACCCTCGTTTCCAGCCTATCGTCATGTGCTTGCGAATGAGTGTGTGTGTCCACGGGCACGAGCACGTGTCCAGTGTGTGTGTGTGTGTGTGTGTGTGTGTGTCTTCTCAAGGACCCAAGGACCTCTGAGGAGACCCTTCTAGGGCCAGAGCAAAGCCACCCAGGGGCTGGGTGCTAGGCCAAGCAGCAGTGCCACACGGGCTGGCCCACAAGTCTGAGCAGGTGGGACAGCCCAGGTGCTGCAGGGAGAGGTTAACGCAGCTGTGGCATGGGCTCAGGCAACAGGTGGCAGCGCGACCTTCTCCAGCACGCCACATCACCTGGGAGCCGGGAGAGGAGGGAGCTCCACTTGGCCGGCGGACACCCAGCCTGGGCTGAAGGCCCTGTATCAAAAGAGGAAAAAGTCAGTGACAGTGGGGCCGGGAGGCGGGACAAAATGGAGAGGTGGGCCTGGTGGGGGCCAGGCTACCTCGGCAGAGAGAGCCCGAGTGGCGAAGGAAGGGGACTCAGCTCTGCTGGGGCAGGGGGTGCGCAGGGCAGACCAATGAGCCCTGTGCAGAGAAGGACTGAGGCTGGCGGGGCACACCCAGGGCTCCGACAGTGAATCCAGAGCTCCCCAGAAGTCACCCCCACTTCCATCTGCCACAAGCGGATCCTGAGGGCCTACCAGTCAGGGGACAGAGCCAGGACCTGGCCCAGGCCTCGGAGGCATCCCTGCAGAGAGAGAGCCTGAGAAAAAGCTTCCCCCTGCCTGCATGCCCTTCTGAATGTTTCCCCAGCTGGACGGAGGAGGGGTGCTCTCGGGAGGGACACAGAAGCCCCCCTCCCAGTCTTCCCGAGGCTGTCTGGGCAGGTCCACCTGCTCCAGGACCCAGCTCTGGAGCCTTGTTCCACCAAGCCCCCTGGGGAGCCTATGCCGCCCTGGCTCACCCTGGTGAGGGGCAGAGGGGGCGCCAGCGTTCCTGGGTGTCCTGGCTGCATGCATGGGGGCCTTTGGCCAAGGTCAGCCACAGGCTCAGCACCAGAGGCTATCCAGGACCCACAGCACCACAGACGGGCGAGGCCTGCTCCCAGGACCACAGCAGGCTCCTCACTCTCCCTCCTGCAGGACTCCCCGGGGCCCCCGGGTCACCCACATTAGAGCAGCAGAACCAGCTGAGGCTGGGCCTGGCCTGCAGGCCCCCACTTGGCCATACTGAGTCTCTCCAGGAGAACTCGAGCAGCCCAGGACCAGAAAAGCAGAGGGCACAGGGCGGCCAGAGTGGGACACTCACCCTGAGGCCCTTCTGTAGACCTTGGAGAGCCTCTCTTGAAAGGTGTCTAGTGTCCGCTTTGCTCCCAAGACCCTTTATTCCATCAGAAACAGCCCTTAACCAAAAGGCGCCAGCTGAGCCTAGAAAACCAAACCCACCTGCAAGCCGCCCCAGCAAAGAGGTCCTGGCCAGGCCCCAGCCTTGGGACCATTTTGACTCCTCCTTCCCGACCCCCCTGTGCCAGTCCTCATGAGCAAGGTCCCGCCGGCCGGCCTCCCTCTGCCTCCCACAGTCAGCCCTCTTCCCACCGTTCCAGCCACCAGGGCCCTTGCTGGTCCACTCTGCCCTGGCTTCCCACTTCCTATCACAGCCACACTCCACCAGCGTTCTAGGGGCCCCCAACCTGTCCCTCGCTCCCTAGCCCTCTTCCACCTCAGGCAAGTTGGTCTCCTCATTGTCACGGGGACACACCCTCAGCTGCCTCCAGGTCTCTGCTCAACATCCCTCCTCATTTCTTCCCCTCCCCACTGCACTCGATCCAGAGACAAGCCACTCTGCCTCCCAGCCCACCTCTTCTGGGGTGCTGGAAGTCCAGCCTTCCCCCATCTCCCTCTCCCCCATCTCCCCAGTGAATGTCCTTGGTTATGAGCCACGGGGCTGCCTCAGTTCCCAGGTGTCAGCCTCTCCCCGTCCAGGTGCCCTGGAGGAAGGCCAAGGCCCAGCCCACTGACTCACCAGAGGGGGCTGAGGCCAGTGCCATGATCCCGTAGTAGGAGAAGGCGCCCGTCTCAAACTTCATGTTCTCCTTGCCGGCCTCGACTTCCACCTTCCCCTGGAGACACAGGGTCAGGGTTACAACAGGGAGGAGGAGAACACGGGTGAAACAGACAGGATGAGGCAAGAGAGGAAGCAGGGAAGGTGTGGGACCACGGGCTGCTCAGCAGGCTGTGACCTGGGGACGCGACGGTGGATGTCAGGGTCAGGATGGGCAGTGTAGGCAGGCCTCGAGCCCCCGGAGCAGGGAGGCTGGCATGAGAAGTCTCGGGGACAGGAGGAGGCGGGGGGCTCACCTGGAGGATGAGGATGAAGTAGTCAGCCGGCTTATTTCGGGTGTACAGGTAATGGTGGCTGTTGTACTTGTCGTGCTCGTCAAACTTGAGCTCCTGGATGATGTCTGGGTACTTCAGCAGCCGCAGCAGGATCTTCTCCGATATCAGAGAGGGGTTAAACAGGGGCACCTCTGCAGGACGAGAGACAGGGATTCACGCGGGGCCCGGGCTGAGCGGTGCCTGGAGCAGATCTGGTGCCGATGCGGTGCCCCAATCTGAACCACAGCAGCCACTCTGTGCTGGGGCGGCTCCATCGCTGCCCAGGCCCTTCCCCAGGGGCTCACTACTGGGTTCTGCACCTCCTGGGGAGGGGAGCGAGCCTGGCTTCTCCCTGGTCAGGCACGAGTCTGTCTGCCTGCCTGGGTTTGAATGGAGCTCCTGCAGTAATAGCGCAAGACCTTGGGTAAATTACTTGACCGCTCTGTTTCTCAGTTTCCCCATCTGTAAAATGGGAATGACACTTCCCCAGGGCCGTGGTGAAGCTACGTGGGATAACACGTGGAAAGCGCTCAAGTGCACTCTTGGTGTACGGCAAGTGTTTTAAATGGTATTATAATTATTGTCATTATCAACATCATTAATGCTTGAGCAGGAAAACACAGGGGAAGGAGTGATCGTGCCTTCAGCAAGTGAGGACTGGGGAGGAAGTGGAATTGCGGTGAAGGCGACAGAGGAGGCAGGGGTTTTTAATCTGCCACCAGGTCCCCAAGGAAGCTGTGAATCAGGGATGGAAGGAAAGAAATGTCATTGATCTAGAGGTCGATTCCTGGGGAACCAGCGTGTGTGGGGAGTGGGGAGGGCAGGGGAGATCCGAGTGGTCAGCGGGTGCGGGGGTGTGTGTGTGTGTGTGTGTCTGCGTGTACGTGCGTGCGCACGCACCCCTGGGCCAAGACCCTGCCCCTGGCCCCTGGAAGGCCTCCTTCTCCCTCAGCTGCTCCAGGGTTACTTTCAAAACCAACTCAGATGCTTCCTAGGAGTTTGTAATGCCAGGTGTCGTCGAGTTAACTCTGACTCACAGCAACAGCAATGTGTGTCAGAGTAGAACTGGGCTCCATGGATGCAGACTGCCAGGCCTTTCTTCTGAGGGGCCTCTGGGTGGACTTGAACCCCTAACCTTTGGATTAACAGCCAATAGTGTTAACCCTTTGTGCCTCCCAGGGACTCGGAAGCCTGCAGTGGCAGCCACTTCACTGCTCACGGCATAACCTTTCCTCTGCTGCAGCCCCCACCCCAATATCTCTCTCCAGGACTGTTTTTCCATCAACACCTGAAGGTCTTCCTCGGGCTCTTCTTACCCGTGGCCAGGAAGCGATGAGCAGCCAGAAGCAGCTGAGGTGAGATTTTCACTTTGAGCTCATTGTCAGCATCCTTGAAGGCTGAGAAATCCCGCTTGTTCTTCTCGGATACCCGTTTCCGGCTTCGGTTGTCAGCTGCAAGAGGAAGGACTGAGACTTGAACACTTCCCCTGAGACCTCGGAGAAGACCACAACCTGCCTCCCAGCTCCCAGCTCTGCTGCTCTCTTCAGCCCAGATCTAAGCAGCAGGCTCTGGGCCAGGGCAGGGTCTCAGGGCTGACGCTGAGGCCCAGGGGCCGGGGAGGATGGGAGGCAGCCCCCACCCACCTCTCTCAACATGCTCCCTGCTCACTATGGCCAGCGCAGCGCACCGCGTTACGGGGTGTCAGGGTGCTGGGAGGCACCGCCCACACGCCCCACACTGTGGACTTCCCAAACAGGGACGACGGGTTTCCGATCCGCGCAGGGAAGGGGCTCTGGGGGCCTGCGGGGAGGGACAAACTCACTGTACATATCCGACTCGTCCAGGATCTCAGACTTGATGATCTCCTCGATGACGTCCTCCAGGGTGACCAGGCCCAGGACCTCGTAGAACGGGTCACCCTCACCCTCGTTGTTCACCTTCTGCACGATGGCCAGGTGGGACTTCCCTGCGGGGACAAGGCAGTGAGTCAGACCAGAGCAAAGGGACCAGTCAGGGGACTCTTCCGCCCACACGGCAACGCATCCGGGGTCACGGGGTCATGGGTGATTTTCCCCTTTACTTTCTAAAGTTTCTACTGTGAACAGATACTGCTTTTATAAAAGAAAAAAAACAAAAGTGTTATTATTTTTACAGGCATTTAACTGGGGCCATTGGTTTAAATGGGATGGAATGGCAAGGTTCCGCCTGGCCGCGCATCAGGGGCTCCTGGGGGAGGGGAAGGCCCCATACTGACAACCCGGGGGGGCACAGAGAGCCAGGGGTGGTGGTGCTGGGGGCTGTCCTCCTCGCACCCAGACCAGGGGCTGTGACACTGCCACAGGCAGAGCCTCTCAGTTCCTCAAGCCATTAACAAATTAAGCCCAGGCTGTAATTAGCGGGGCGCCACCCCTCAGCCTAAAGCAAGAGAAAGTTGTGAGGCAGAGGGTGAGGAGGAAGGCCAGCCACTGGATGAGGTTCCCACCCTGCTCCTCAAGGCCCCCAGCCCCTCCTCGGGGGTCCCACCCTGCTCCTCAAGGCCCCCAGCCCCTCCTCGGGGGTCCCACCCTGCTCCTCAAGGCCCCCAGCCCCGGTGAACGACAGCAGGGAGACAAACAAGAAGGGCTGGCCTGCGCCCTAGGTGGAGGGGCCGTGCGCTGCACGTGGGGACGCGGGTTTGGAACAGCCCAAGGGACAAAGCCCCAGGACACCTGTGACAGTCAGGCCAGGGTCTCCTGCACGGTGGTCCCTTTGGAATCCATTACTGAGTGCAGCACCTCATTCTAAGGATGAAAGAACTCGTTCTAAATGGTCTCTGTGGAGCAGGCTTTCCAGGTCTACCAGGAAACCATGAGGCCTTCCTGAGGGAGACCCAGGTTCGACTCCCGGCCAATGCACCTCATGTGCAGCCACCACCCATCCATCCGTGGACACTAGTGTGTTGCTGTGATGGTGAACAGGTCTCAGCGGGGCTTCCAGACTAAGACAGGCTAGGAAGAAAGACCTGGAAATCTACTTCTAAAAGTCAGCCAACGGAAACCCCATGGATCACAACGGTCCAATCCCCATCTGAACACCAGGCAGCGCTTCGTTCTGGTGTTTGTGAGGTAACCATCAGCTGGGGGCTGACTCAACAGCAGCTAACAGCCACCGTAAGGTAGCTGTCATCAAGTCAGTCCTGACTCACGGCAACCCTGTGTGTCAGAGTAGAGCTGTGCTCCACGGGGTCTTCAGTGGCTGATTTTTCACAAGTAGATCAGCAGGTCTTTCTTCCGAGGCACCTGGGTGGATTCAACCCTCCAACCTTTTGAGCACGTTAACCATCTTCACCTCCCTGGTACTCCTTCTGGGCCACTAAGGCCACAGAAAATCCCCCAACCCCAGGATGGCGTCTTCAGAGCTGCTGGGCCTGACCAGCATTTAAAAAAATAAAATAAAGTAAAATAATCCAAGTAATGTATCGTGAAACTTTTCACCCACGTATTGGGTCGATGTGATACATGTTATTTCTGCTACCAAAAGTTTTAGTTACCACTGCTGGATAGAACCATGGCTGGGCTCAGTGAAAAATCCCCTCATGTCTTTCTAGAAATGAGTCAACAACAGCAAGAGAGCTGCCAAGGTCCCCCTGCAGGGCAGCAGCCCCCGGGGCTCTGTGCCGCTCGAGTGCTTTCTAGAAAGAGAGAAAGAAGCAACAGCTTGATGGCCCAGGGCAGCCAGATAAATGATGTCATCCAGCAGGGAAGGGACCTCAAGCAAGGCGGTTCCAGCACCTTTCCACCTGGCACTCTGAGAAGCCTGGCGGTGCTTGGTGTTGCGGGGGTGGGGGACAGACAGGCCCCCACATGCACTCTTCCATGGGCGGGTACATGGGCACAGATCAGGAAGCCAATCAGGCAGGATGCCGTACACTATTTTTTAACTGTGCCTAACCTTGGGCTCAGGAGCCCTGGTGGTGCAGCGGTTAAGCATCTGGCTGCTAACCAAAAGGTCGGTGGTTTGAACCCACCAGCCGCTCCATGGGAGAAAGATGTGGCAGTCTGCTTCCCTAAACATTACAGCCTTGGAAACCCTATGGGGGCAGTTCTACTCTGTCCTATAGGGTTCACTATGGATCGGAATCAACTCGATGGCAGTGGGTTTGGTTTTTGTTTTTGTTTTTTTTGGAACTTTGGACCCAGAAATTCCACGGCTGGGTTATGTGTTCTATGGACATACTCGTCACAAAAAAAGAGACACAAAAGCAAGAGGGTTCAGCAGAGCGTTCTTTTTAACTGCCCCAAACCAGAAGCAACATAAATGAACAGCAACAGGGCACAGGTGCTGCCCTCGGGGTCACTGGGGCTCCAGGAAGAACGCGAGAGAGCCAGACAGGCGACCTGTGGACTGAAACCAAGACACGCGACCGAGTGAAAGAGCAAACTGTGCAACGCAAGGCTTGCCGGGAAACAAAGGGGGTGTGTGTGGGCGTGCATGTGTGTGCGCATGAGCGTGTATACGTGTGTGTGCGAGTGTGTAAGCACGTGTATGTGTGTGAGCGTGCATGCACGTACGAGCATGTGTGTGAGTGTGTGTGTGTGTGCACACGTGCATGCCAGCACACTCTGGAAATGCCTAGAACTATCTAGAAGAGCTAACCGTGGTCACCTTTGGGGGATACAGAGTTTGCGGAATGGGCCCCATTATGCCTTACTCTATACCCTTCTATACTGCCCTTCTGTTCTATTTGATAGGCATGTTTTACTTTTATAATTTTTAAAAAACTGAGAAAAGATTAAGGGGGGAAAACAAAGGGAACTTCTGGCCAATGACCTCCGCCTCCCACTGCCACAGGAGCCCTGGTGGCACAGTGGTTAGGAGCTCGGCTGCTAATCAAAAGGTTGGCAGTTCGAATCCACCAGCCGCTCCTTCCTCCCCTCAGCTTCCAGGACTCCAGGCTCCCGTGCTCCTCTCACCTCAGGGGCCACTTTGTCTCCTCCCTTCTCCCTGATCTGCAAACACTGGAGGGACCAGGGCTCAGTCCTTAGACCTGGTCCCTTGCCTCATGCCTTTAAATACTGACTATAAACCAAACCAAAACCAAACCCATTGCCGTTGAGTCAATTCCAACTGATAGCGACCCTACAGGACAGAGCAGAACTGCCCCATAGGGTTTCCAAGCAGCAGCTGGTAGATTCAAACTGCTGACCTTTTAGTTAGCAGCTGAGCTCTTAACCACTGTGCCACCAGGGCTCCAAATACTGGCTATATAGTATATCAAAGAATCCCAAATAAGTGTTTCCAGCCCAGCCCTCTCCTGTGTGCTCCAGACTCATACATCTAACTACCTATTGACAGCTCCACTTGGATGTCAACTCTTAACCCGTCTGCTATGGATGGTACTGTGTCCCCCAAAATGTGTGTCAACTTGGCTAGGCCATGATTCCCAGTATCTTGTGGTCGTCCTCCATTTTGTGATCTGATGTGATTTTCCTATGTGTTGTAAATCCTACCTCTATGATGTTAATGAGGCAGGATTAGAGGCAGTTATGTTAATGAGGCAGGACTCAATCTACAGGATTAGGTTGTATCTTCAATCAACCTCTTTTGAGATATAAAAGAGAGAACTCAGCAGAGAGGAGACGGACCTCATTACCACCAAGGAAGAAGCACCAGGAGTGGAAGTGCATCCTTTGGACCCAGGGTCCCTGCGCTGCGAAGCTCCTAGACCAGGGGAAGATTGATGACAAAGACCTTGCCCCGGAAGCCAACAGAGAAAGTCTTCCCCTGGCGTTGGCGCCTTAAATTTGCACTTCTAGCCTCCTAAAACTGTGAGAATAGATTTCTGTTTGTTAAAGCCATCCACTTGTGGTGTTTCTGTCACAGCAGTGCTACGTAACTAAGACACCATCCAACATGAGTCCCTGCCCCTCCCCCCAGTCTACCCCAGCTCTATCCTTCCGGTTCATCAGGCCACTGGAGGAATAAACTTCGCCTCTTCTCTCTCTGCCCCTCTACAACCATTTCATTCAGTAAATCCCACCAGGATTACCTGCAACGGATACACAGAATCCAACCTCTTCTCATGGCCTCCACTGATACCTGCCCATTCTGGGCCACCAGCATCTCCCACCCAGTGGACTGAAACAGCCTTTAACACTTCCCTGCTTCACCTTGGACCCTAGCCAACTCTCAACACAGCGGCAAGGGTGACCCTCTTATGATGCAAGTCAGACCACGCCACACCTCCATCAAACCCCACAGTGGCTCCCATCTCTCCCTGGCCCCAAAGCCCTCTGTGCTGACCCACCTTCCCACATCTCCTCCTCAGTCAATCGTACTGGCCTCCTCTGCCTGCGTCCCCTCCCCAGATACCTGCACAGCTCATCCCCTTTAGGTCTTTGTTCAAATGCCACCCTCTAATGAGGCCTACCCCACTGGCCCCATGTAACACTACACCGCCTCCTCCAGCACTCTGGACCCCTCTCATTAGTTCACCACCTACAATAGGCCATGCAATGTGCTCATTTGTTGTGTTTACTGCCCATCTCCCCCACTACATCCTGGCTCCACTAGGCCTGGGGTTTTTGTCTGTGCTCCTGAAGTTCAGGCCAGTGCACAGCACACAGCAAGTATTCAACAGGCATCTGTGGGATAAAAGGATCAGCCCACGCAGACGTTCCTCAGGAGGAGAAAGACAGCCAATGGGGAGGAGAGACGGGACACTGACCAGAGAAGGAATTATTTTGGACTTCAGTAATTTAGAACTTTCTGGAGTTCAGAAGTTACTGTTAACAGATTTACTATTTAAAAATAAGTGGATCAACTTAATACTTCCAATTATGATTCTCACTGAGTGGAATCTAATGTAAATTTTTATTTAAATGAGTTACCTCATTTTATTATTGATGTCCATTCAACTGGAAAATTAGATTTTGGGAGTGGCTGGAGTGAGAAATGAAACATGAAAATTTAAATAATACATCTACT